AAAGAAAAGTTAGCAATGTTCAAAGATAAATAAATTTATATATACAAGTATTCATATTTGTATTTAAATTAAAATGGAAGCTACGTTTTGAAGAAAAACACGTAATTGGCATTTCGGAAGGGAGTGAGGGAGAGGGAGAGGGAGAGAGAGAGAGAGAGAGAGAGGGAGGGAGAGAGAGAGAGAGAGAGAGAGAGAGAGAGGGGGGGGGGGGAGGGGGGAGGAATAGGGGAGTGAGGGAGAGTCAGAAAGATGGAAAGGGGGAAAGAGAGAGATAGGGAAAAAGACCCTTATCATCAACACTACCATCAGCATTAACATCATCATAGACATCAACATAAACATCTAAGCACTATCATTTCAGCATCAGCTTTTCTATCGCCATTATCACAATCCTCTTCCTCAACATCACGATCACAATTATCACAAGCATCATCATCATCATCATCATCACCATCATCTTCATCATCATCATTATCACCATCATCTTCATCATCACCATCATCATCACCATCATCATCATCATCATCATCATCACCATCATTACCAGCATCATCATTAGCAACATCGTCATCCTCATCAATAGCATCATCGTCATTATCATTAGCATCATCGTAATCATCATCCTCAGTATCATCATCATAATTGGCATTAGCAGAAAAACCTCACTACCAATGCAACTAATACCACTTTCCAAATACTGTACATCATCTCTCTCAGTAGAAGTAGCAGTAGAAGCTGTCTGTCGGGAAGCGACAATGACCGCCTCCACTTTTATGAATGCTGCTTGCAAAGGTAGGTAAGTACCGGTAGCTCTTGCAAGTTATTAACGGCACTGACTCAGGGAACTGGTGGCAAACATAAGTATTACAAACATAAGCAGACAAGTAACATGAATAACACCAAACACAAGCTAAAGATGTCATGAAAACTGTACAATTTATTCACATAACATTTATAAAGTACTTCTCTCAAACATTAGTGTCTGGAGACCAGCAGCTATCTTTAGTCGGTCGCTTCCCGTATAATTATAAGTTGCTTCATAAATGTTGTATTGGTTATCCTTCCTGTACCCAGTACCAGGTAGGAAGAAATTCCTTGAATGCTTGAGCACCTTTTATTTTTAATATGATTGCAGGGCCCTCAGGGAGAACAGTATTAAAGGCATTGTTTAACAATGTTAAATCTGAGATGCACGGCCCGACGTGTTATCAGTGTTTGTGAAACGGTGTAATATTGAAGCCTAAAAAAATTGCGCTTCAAAATGATCATGAAGTTCCTCAAAAAAGTAAAAATCTTTGAGTGACCGGTTTTACCATACTCAATTTCCCCAATAGACTGTAGTGTTATGAAAACCGTTGGGAAAACGCAAAATTTGATTTCGATTTCCAATCAAAAATATCTTGATAATCAGACAGGCGATCGGCTTGTAAATGTCATGGGATTCATGTATGCCCTAAAGGTTTATAATTATGATTGCAGCATGAGCGAAATCAAGGATTTTTTTAAAGGATCTGAGACAAAGTTACCCAATCCCTTTTATACTGATGAGGTCACCCTGGGTAAACAAGACATGTTATTAATATTATTATTTGGTATTTAAAACAAAAACTTGCCAATTTCACTTGTCAAAACATTTCTCAGAAACATATAATAAAAATTCAATGTTTAACCAAATGAAAATAATTGTTTGTTGGCCTGTCATATGCTGGATAAGGGAATTCGAGATTTGCTGACATGAGATTCTGTTTGCCAAGAGCCAGAAAAAGGTATTCTGTTAAAGGTATAGACCAGTTTTGGAAACACCCCCCTTTCAAAAAATTGGAAGCTCTTATTACCAATCATGTGAAAGAATATGTTTTGACCAATACGTGATGATACAAATTTTGCCGGGAAACCACCTACTAATTGATATATTTGGTAAATTGATATATCTATCTGGACCGGATAGATATAGCGCACGTGTCGCGTAGTCCCATATACTTCTTACGGTGTACAGTGCTTGTAACTTTACCAAGACTGGGCCAAATTTCTTATCATTTTGATGATTCCAGAACCTTGCTATACACACCAATACTTATATATGCTAGATGATCAACCTTCTCTGATCCATTCCACAACGTTTCTTTCACAATGCAATCACATGACCAGAACTGGTCTTTACCTTTAAGTGCTACTTTATTTCATTGAAAAAGTAGATGATGTCTGTCATGAAAGTGAAGCATGTGCTGTAATGAATTAAATGAAAGTTTGGCATGCTTTCATGTACGAGGATGCAAACAGGATGTGGAATAATAGAAACTGATAATCGTTTTAACTTTTGAGACAGCTACAACATATCATTCATTAAGTTAAAGTGTTATCATTTACGGTACTCTTTATTTTAAAGAACAAACCGTGTGGGCGAGGTAGGGAAGGGATAGAATTGCTACCCTAAGCTCAACTTATAGCTTCAAAAGAAACTTACCACATTGATAAAATATAGACGCATGACTATTGTTGACATAAATCTGATGAATGTTCATGAGACATACTACATGTTTTTTGTTCACAATAGCCCCCTTCAATTGTCATTCATGAGACAAAAAAAATGATATCAATGAAGGTTGAAAAAGGATTTAACTGAACATGAGCATTCTATCACTGTGCTAACAAACTGAGCCACACCTTCAGTAATGTATGACGTTTGTTCTATTTTCAATTATACCACATCCATAACTTTTCAGACAGTCTAAACACATACTGATGAAGGACACATTGTAACGTAATATTTTCAAATGCAGTATAAATCCCTAAATCAATAATTTAGGAGCAGGTGCGTATGATCACAATAGTTATTCTTGGCCAGGACTCAATAAATCTGGCTGGCATCAAGCCTACACTGAGCACCAACTACCATGCTTTACTTTTTTGTTATTGTTTATTTGATCTTGCCACGTTTCAGCAATAATATGATTATATTTTTAATACTTGGACATGCAACAGATTTACTTTCTATAAGATGGTTTCATCCTCAATCTCAGGTTCAATTTTTTCTTTTTTTTCCAGGCTGAATTATACTTGAATTATCTTCTCACTCAAACAAGGTACACTAGAATCTAGATAATGTAGACCACACATACCCCCTCCCTCTAAAACAAGCCATCTTCTCACATGAAAAATGAAGAAAAGATCCAGTCTTCACACTCCATGACTTGGTTCATATATTTTCATTAAAAAGGAAAAAAACTCATTGGGGATTGAAGTCAAGTCATAACAGCTTGAAAAAATAAGTGTTTCAAATGACTCAATTCAATCAAAATAAACATTATCTTTAAAGGTAAAGACCAGTTTTGGAAACGCCCCAATTTCAAAAAAATGAAATGGAAGCTCTTATTACCAATCATGTGAAAGAATATGTTTTGACTAATACATGATGGAAACAATTTTGCCGGGAAACCGCCTACTAATTGATATATTTGGTAAATTATTCTATTTAGACCCGAGAGATAAAACGCATGTGTCACGCATGGCGCGTAGTCCCATATACATTTTTCTGTGTACAGTGTTTGTAACTTTGCCTAGACTTGGCCAATTTTTTAATCATTTTGATGATTCCAGAACCTTGCAATACACACCGATACTTATATGCTAGATGATCAACCTTTTCTGATCGATTCTACAACGTTTCTTTCACAATACAATCGCATGACCAGAACTCAACTTTATCTTTAAACCAATGTTTGCATGCGCTTCCATAATCCACTGTAAAGGTTTTCACACCACATACCTCATTTTGAAAGGACATTGTTTACATGAATGAAGATCAAATCGTTCTCGCATCATAAAATCAGCCCAAACGATGTTTGGATATCTGACATTTATTATTCCACCAAAATGTCTCCTTCCTCTCGCTTCAGCAAGGCTTGTTATGTAAACACACATTGAATCACGATCCATGGTAAAAAGGGAGTATGTAACAAATACTTAAAAAACTTACTTGTCATCTTATGACAGCTAAAAGGGTTTTTTAACTTGGGCTTTAAACAGATGCTATTCTCATTTATTCTATTCAGACAATTTTGTCAAACATATGTTGAAATCGATTAGATAGCTTTTAAAGGTAGCACTTTAAGTTTTGGGTATAATCTCACAACGACTTAACATAGCATGCAATGTACTTGGGACACAAGCTTCTAAATTAAGACAATTTTTCTTGAGATACAAAAAGTGAAAGTCTACTGTGTTTCGATTGTCATGTGTGTCTGTTTGGAGCTGGAAGGACACTAACTTGGATGAACTTAGCGATCTTTTGGCTCCAAACAGAAGATACAATCTTACAGCTGCTGTTTAACCCATTAAAGATAAACTTGAGTCCTGGTAAAAAAAGATAATGAATTCTCACAGAATCAAATGAAACTTACACTCAATGTTCAAGATTACAAATAAATGTCATTTGCCAAACACTTTTGGTAGAAAATGTATACTGGCTGAGTAATGAGCTTAGAAAGATGAGGAAATCAAAGTTAGTAGCCCCCGACACTGTTTGTGTAGTCCCATATACATCTTTCTGTGTACAGTGCTTGTTACTTTACCAAGACTGGGCCAAATATATTATGATTTTGATGACTCCAGAACTTTGAAATACACACCAATACTTACATGCCACATGATCAACTTTTTCTGATCCACTGCACACCTTTCTTTCACATCGCAATCGCATGACCAGAACTCAACTTTGTCTTTAACAATAAAATTAATTATACAAAGTGAAATGCAGATCAACAGACATTATAGAAGTGGATGATCATATACATGTACATGTAGTATGAATGATCAGAAGACCAGATCATTTTCAGTCTGATGTTCTTCCTGTAACATGAGCGCTTCACGATTCAATTCAAGATATTCACTGGAACCACACTTTACAAAGCACACAGCTGGTGAGTTGAGTCCTTTCAATGGTGTAGCAGGTCATATATACAAACACATTGCTGGTGTAGTGAAGATCTGTTTTGGGTGGGATATAATCATTTCCTGTAGGATCTCCTATGCCTGGAAAAGAAAACAAAATGAGAAAGAAGGAGGTAATGAATCATCTGAGAAGCAGGACAAAGCATAGACCACAAATTATCGGGGAGGGGGGGGGGGGGGGTGGGGAGAAGACACCCTACAAACCACATGAAAATTACCTTACAGATATAGAGAGGAGATTGTAAGGGGAAAAAATAATTATTTCTTCTGCCACCTTTCTTAGGTATCAATCTATGTACATGATAGATAGGGGACTGCTAACTTTATAAGACTAGGCTCAGAAGTAATAAATTAAGAAGCAAAACATAACACCAGGCATAACATGTCAATTTACAAGGAAGACATGACAACAGAAGTAACATCTGGGCCTAAAATGGAAACATGAGCACATGCAACATGTAGAACTAAAGGAAGTATGACATTAGCCTTGCCGTTATCCTACACAGAAGACAGGACAACAGGTTTCACATTGGGTCAGAAGGGAAAAATATACCACCAGATTTAACCCTATTCTGACTTTTTGACCCCCCCCCCCCTTCCCATTCAAAATCCACGACTGCTGCGCAACCACTAAACTAAGTTTGCAGCAATCAGATAATCCTCTACAAGTCATTTAGTAGTCAAATGTCAGGCCAAAATTTGTGTATAAAATAATGCTTTTCCTAAATATAAAAGTGATTTTTCTTGAAAAAAACATTTCCAGGGGTACTATCTATATGCGAGTCAATATCTCTGCAAAATTTTGAATCAGTTGTGCATTTCATGGCTGAGTAATATCACTCAAATTTACCCCCCCCCCCCTTTAGTCAAACCTTGCTCTTAGAAAGCCCAGTCAGTATAGGTGAACACAGAAGATGTGACACCTGGGGACAAAGATCCTAAGTCAAACTTAACTCTTAGTTGGACTTTAACATTATGGACTGCCATTTGTAGCCTTAAAATAAAATATAATCGAAAAGCAAAAATTGAAGTATTTTAGACTTTTTATTAATTCCACATCAAGAACATGAAATTTCCTTGATAATAAGCAAATATTAATCAACTACGAGGGTAATGGTGCAAACTATCATCGCCGAGGTGATCTCAGGGCTACTATCTTCCCGAGCCGAGAAAAAGACCTATCTCAGGTAGATAGTATTTATCTATACCTTTTTCGTGCTCTGTACAATCGCAATGTAAACAACTATACATGAGGGATATAATAGAAAATATGAAAGATTTGAATCAACAGTTTATGCCTTTTAAAAGAACTTTTACAAAATATTTTCATAGATGCTTGCGGCTTTCCATAATTCTTAAATCCAACTTTAAAATAAGTTCAACTTAAAGATGAAGTTGAGTTCTGGTCATGCGATTGCATTGTGAAAGAAACGGTGTGAAATCGACCAGAAAAGGTTGATCATCTAGCATATAAGAATTTGTATGTATTGCAAGGTTCTGGAATCATCAAAATGATAAGAAATTTGGCCAAGTCTTGGTAAAGTTACAAACACTGTACACAGAAAGATGTATATGGGACTACACGAACACGTGGCGTAAAAAACCTACCCCCAAAGTTTTACGAGTTACATGACATATTTAGAATATAAAGGCATTTGAAGAGCCATGCTTTTCAGGGAACATGTCTTATCTGATGTTCTTCCACACTTGCATAATAAGAATGATAACGCTCACAAATTATTTTTCACCTCTTCCCAGAACTCAACCTTCTCTTTAAAATCTTTGTGAAACACCCCCCCAGATGTAACAAGTTGGGCTACAGAAGGCCTGTCTTCACTAGCTCAAGATTGCCAAATATCCCGCTAATTAAACTATCCCGATCGCAAACTATCCAGCTAATATTCGTCTTCATCAGCCCGAAGTTGCAATTAGCGAGATATTTGTCCGGGATTGTCATCCCAAGATATCTTGGGATAGTTTGCAAAATATCCCGCTATTTGTCCGGTGCGTCTTCACCAGACCGAAGCCTTGCACTATGCGCGAAGGCTGAGCAAAATATCTCGAGCTAATTTCTCAAGGTCGAGCTTCAATTTTCGAGGTCAAATCTTGAGCTGATGAAGACGAGATTTGTAACTTCAGGATTATTTCCCAAATCAGAAATAGCAGGCTATTTGGCAATCTCGAGATGATGAATACGCGCCTAGAGAGAGAACAGCACACCAGCAGTGACCGGCCAGCGTGTGGGTGAGTAGGGAGAAGACCTACCTATCATCTGGTGATGTTGACCGATGTCTATGATGGTACCTATCATCGCTCCTCTCATCACGCCTATCGTCACGTCTCTCATCACGTCTCTCATCACGATGATAGTTACGAACTAACGCAAAATAAGGAAATATAATAATAATAATAATCATACAATATTTATAAAGCGAATAATAAACATTAGTTTCTCTATGCCCTGTACAAGCATAATGACGAGAAATTTATTCACATAAAAGGAATCAACACAGAGAAATATACAAATCTTATAACTACTAAAATGACTAACTTAACATAGTAAATAACATAATAAAGAGATAGCTAACATGGTCAAAACAAATAACGTAAGGATAGTTTAACAAATATACAAATGTTAGAAGATACCTATTGAAAGTTACATTACATCTTATGTACAGAAACAATGAGAAAAAAACCATAAATGAAATAATGCATGATCATCTTTCTACTGAATTTTATTGTAATGCATCGATGGATATTTATCTGACATTCTGTCTCACAGTGAAACATGTAAATAAGTTTCTAGGACCGCTCGACAGGATGTACACTAAATTAAACCAACATGCATCTATTTTTTTTTTATGATGCTGCTCTGGGGGGTGTTTCATAAAGCTGTTCGTAAAGTTACGGATGACTTTACGAATGACTTAAATATGAGAAGCCAAATGGGATGCTCAATCATTATTAACTGCATCAACTAAAGTTGAACTGTGCAGATTTAGATTAACATTCTCATCATAACAAACAATTTTTTAATGCAAAGTATATTTTTTGCCATAATTTAATTGAGGTTATTGGAAATATAGTCACACTTTGTTAAAACATCAGGAAAAACTTTGGGCATCCTATCTGGCACTTCATATTCAAGTCATTTGTAAAGTCATGCATTACTTTACAAACAGCTTTATGAAACACCCCCTGAAGGCCTCCAAGACCAAGAGGAAAACTATTTATTACATTCTAGAGAGAGCTCATTACCTGGTGATCTGTGTCTTCTTTCCCTTGATCTGCTCCTCCTCTCCCTCTCTCTCCTTGGGCTCCTGCTTCTCCTTCTCTCTCTGTCTCTCCTGGGGGATGGGCTTCTCCTCTTGGGAGAACGACTTCTCCTGAATGAAAATCAATGACATCATAATGAAAATCAATGACATCATAATGAAAATCGATGATATCATAATGAAAATCAATGACATCATGTTTGGTTTCTTTCAATTGTCAATTCAATTCAATTCAATTCATTTATTTTTCCTCTTTCAATTGTTCATATTTACAATGATGGTACATTTTAACATATTCACATATTCGTAAACATATACATCAATTTGCACAATACAATACATTAAAAAAAATAAACATGACATTGAAAGGGAAGTAGGGCCGACTAAAAAGCAGAGCTTGTAAGGTGTAGGCCCCCCTTTAAAAGTAATTATTATGAAGTATTATTTTATGAGAAAAAAACAAAACAATAATTGATTCAGTAATACAAAAATCATTTTCAAATGCAAAACATTGATAAATACATACATGTTTATAAAAAGAAACAATCAAAGTTACACAAACATCAAATTTGCATAAAGTCATACTACAAATTATATTTGATTGGGGAATGCAATAGCCAACCCTTTCCCATCAGAAGTATTTTAGTTCTGGTGATGACAAACAAAGAACCCAACAAAATCAACACTGAACATTGAAAAATGTACATCCATGCCTGTTGAAAGAATTTGATAATAATGCATTATACCCATATTATAAACAAAGAAATAAGAAGACATTGGGAAAGTCAGGAGTGCAGTGCGATACATTGTCCAAAAAATCTGTGACGTTACTTCTTGAAGGATACGTAATTGTGGAAATTTGGCCTGTCCATAAAATGATAATATGGATGCATTTCCAAATCCCACAGCGTGCAAACCTCTATTTTGAGATTTTGAGAAATGAGGTGTCAAAAAAGGTAGTGTGGTATCAACATGTTCAGGGCAACTCCCTGCATAATTTTCAAAATGGCCACCATTTATAACTATTGAATGATTTCAGAGATTACTTTTTAACAGAACCTTATTTTGCCATGTGTGTGTGAGGTGTCATACAAAAGGTAATTAAATTTCCTACAAGATGATATCACTAGACCTGCCAACCTCAGAAGTTCAAAAACTGTATTCTTTAGTCCCAAAAGTTGTATTTACTGACAAAAGTTGTATTTTGTTTGTAAAACACGGATCAATGCCTCTTACAGTCCCTACAAACAAAAAGAATTTTTGTTATGGATCATCTATTGAAAATGCATGATTTCGTCATGACTGGTGTGTTCAATGAACCTATGAACATCCCCAAATTGCCAATGTGAGATGCTCGTACGATACTTTACAGGACAGAATGGGCATTTTGTCATTGAAAATGGCACACACAAACACACACAGGAAAATCGTACTTTCGTATATACTTCTAAAAATCGTACTAAATATGATTACATCGTACTGGTTGGCAGTTCTGTATCACATTAAATAGGTTTGAGAATAATTTGTATAACAACTTTGAGCCAAAAACAAGATTTTTAAAAAAATTAAAAAATCATGAATATTGCTATGGAAAATGTGAAGGAGAATGGGGTCTATGTTCCATCAGGACTGGGGAAGGGACAGCTCTTGCATGAGCTTCTTTTGATTGCTAGATCAGGGAGAGAAGACATAGACCTTCAGGAAGTAGGGAGGTAACCAGGAATTTACAACCACAAGAAAGTGACTGATGTGACCTGATGGATCACTACATCCAACTAAAGTCAAGTAGTTCACATGTTATGTGATGAGTCTGGTATTGTTACAGACGGCAGCCCATCTCAGGACAAGAACCAACAAGCCAGACGGAGTTGTCTCCTCATTCATGGTATGGTCGTTGTCAAAGAAGCAATGGCTGTAGGAAATTTCCAAACTTCCAAGCACTTGGCTCTGATGTATGTGCGACATACCGATGCAAAGGCAAAGCAGTGTGATCTTTTCTTGAGTCGTGTTTCACATTCATGAATTTTGGGAATGTTTTATCTATATTTTTCTTGCAATCTTCATTCTCACCCATTCCTTGTCATATTTCATTTAATTGAATTAAACAACCACACACACACGGAAAGCTTACAAAAGCAAGCTTTAAAGCTTATCTTTACTAGTTTATAGGAGGGATTAGACCACACTGCAAGGTTACTGGACGGGTGGTTATCTCATCAACTCAGCTCTCAATTAACATAAGAAAAAGAGGATCATTGGGGACCAATGGTCACCGATTAGGCATTGTTTTCTATATAGAGGGAGCAAGTAGCTTCAAGTAGGACAGTGTGGCTTTAAATCAAAGAATATTTTCTATCTTACCTTTTAGGTGATCGACTACGACTTCGACGATGCCTTGGTGAAGGACTTCTCCTTGGTCTGTCGTGATCGTGATAGCTACCCCGGTGACGTTCAGGTGACTTTTTGATCTCCTGTTTATAAGAATCACAGTGCAAACAATACAGACATTGCAACAAGTTTCAAGTCAAATTTAAAACAAGTAAGATGTTTGGATTAGTAAAAATTATTATTTACGTGATTAACATCTATCATGATATGAATGTAAATCCTGAAATTTCCTTGTGCATGATATGTATATGGAATATAAGTATATTATGTTATGTTAAGTTTTATGTTAAATTTGAGCAAAGTGAATTTCCATTGTAAAACTAAAAAGAAATTGCAATTTTTTATTGGAATGTTTTCTCAAATTTGTGAGTGGTTCAGATTAATAAAACAAGGTTAATGCTACAAAACGACTGTATCACAACTGACAAGACAAATCTTTGCTTCACCATGAAAATCACTTTTGTTTATAATTCATGAAAGTCTAATGTTGTTAAAGGTGAAATTCAAAGAAAATCACAAATATGTCAACTAATGTATCACTATAAACTGGTAAGCTTACAGATGGCAATCGTACAAGTTTTAGGTCAACTACATATCGGGTGAATTATAAAAATACAAATACAACCACCTCCATAGCAGCTGGGATATACGAGAGATTCGCCGGAAAAATAAGGATTTTTTAATGACGTCACTATATGGACCACTACTGCCCAAGCAGACGACATCCCATAAAGAATGAACATAATTGCGAAGCTATTATTTGTCAAATTATAATGAGTTCAGTGTATATAAATGTAATGGCATGTCAAACCATTCAAAAGGAGATATGACCCGATTCCGATAACTAAAATATTTTGCTTGTAAATACACAGAATAGGGGTTAATTAACAATCAAAGAAACCAGACTTTTAAATTGAAAAAACCCCCGGAATTATATTAAGGACGGCATTTGTTCCCTCTTGAAACGCCGAACATACCGCGGTGTGTGCAGCTGAATATTCAATGGCGTCTTATTTTGTTTACAAGCGACAGATTCCTTTATTTTTGTATCGCTGCATTTGTTATCAAAATAAAACCATGCGCGGGGTTTAGAGTGAGGCAATAGATTATACATTTAGCCTGACGGTAGTGAAGTAAGAGAAAGAACTCAAGAGAGGATGAAAACACAGGCACTGAAAATGTGTGAGATGTCATGGGACATCGTCTGCTTGTGCAAATCGTGTCCATACTGTGATGTCACACATCTCAGCAGCGTTCGGAGAGCTCTTCAGGTGCTATGCCGGGGCTGTATTTAAGCGTTTTACAATTTATAATATTCATTACTTCGAATGTTTCCAAGCATTGAATTTTGATAACCTTGTCGAATCAAAGTTTCAACTTTGCAATAATGAAATAAAGTTAGTTTTTAAAAACAATGAATATCTACTTTAAGTTTCTGGATTCATAGAATGTACAAATTTGATTAAAATCATTCTTTTTCTTTTGAAAAAGATGTACCGGTACATATAATTTATGGGAACTAAATCAGTAGGATAAATTTATGAATTCAAGCACTAAAATTGACATAATAATTTTTACCATAAATAGAGCTGCAAAATTTTGTATCTTTCTGCTACTCTTAGAGTAACGTGGCAAATAAATCTGAAAGAGGACAGCCAATGGTTTGGCAATACATGTGGACCTTCTCACCCTTCGGCATACCCCTTAATCAAAAGCCAGCAGCTGCCTACTTTTGATATCACCTGTTCAAACCTCAATGATCTCTCATTTTTTGCAGCAAAACAGGGCTTTGCCGTTCATAATTTACATCATGAAAAAGTATGACTTGCTTTCGCATTAATAATTGCTAATGGATCTTATGCTACGGTCACAAAGGCTCATACAAACGATAATTTCATACGAATCTCCCTGTTTTTCCATTGTCTTTCGGAATTTCCATTGTCTGAAAATCGTTCGTACGGCATTCGTAGCAGTTCGTTATGGCATTCGTGACCGAGGCTTTAGGTGAAATCAAATAGAAGTAAGATGAGGAATGTAAGATAACTTACTGGTATATCGATGTCATCGTCACTGGAGTCTTCCATGTCGTCCAGATCCTCCTCCAGAGGGCTAACCTAGTATCACAAAGAGGGTCAAGGGTCAATGAATGTCAATCAAAAAACATGGTTACGCTTCCTACACAGAATATATTAAAGATATTATGGGTGGTATTCGCATAAGTTAAGCAGGGACTAAGTCCAGACTAAACAGGAATTTTAGTTCACACTTCTATGGAATGCTACATGTAGGTTTCATCATCTCCTTCAATATTCATGACAAAGATAATCTACCAAAGACTTTGTTGAAATTCAGTACATACTCATATTATCTTTTTCTTCCCATTTCATTGCAAAATTAATTTTTGTGGACACTTTTCATTGCAAGATTAAAATAATCTGTACAGGGTAAATGAGTTGGTAACAGGCACTCCATAAAAGTGTGGACTAAGTTAAGCCAGGCTAACTTAGTACGAGCAATCGGAATACCACCCATTGTAAATGAAGTTCTCATGGTGTTATACCTCGTACATATAACAGCCTCCAGCAGGCCTGTTTATAAGCATCATGATGTCAGAACACTGAAACCCTAGTCAATACTTACGCGTAGTTCAAGCTGCTCAGTCTCCTCCAGAATATGTCTCTTCTGCACACGAGGGAGAATGATGTCACAGACTCTCTCTTCATTCAGAAGCTCGTCGATAAACTCATCAACATGGGATAAGAAATATCCTATGGAGTAGAATAATGTTTGAAGTTTGAAGTTTGAAGCTTATTTATTCCACATTTTACATAAAAAATAGTTTATATTCTTTTTAATTTTTTTCTTTATACAAGTGTATATTATATAAGAGTAGATTTCAAACAAGAAAAAAAAAAAAAAAAAATTCAAATCAAGTTTTTAAAAATTAAAAATTAAAAATCTTGGTCCTAAAATAGGGTGCGTCTTATACACCGAGATTTACGGTAATTACGCACAAGTCAAAGATTGCCTAAGCCAAGGCACGTCACTCGGTCCGTCAAGGTCGACTTACGTGAGGTTGATTGTATCAGATGACAAAAATTAGGTAGAAAACATAACACAGGTGAGAAATGTGGAAAGAAAAACAAGAAAAGGAGCGAGTTATTATTATTATTAATATTATTTATTTGGCACTTTCAAAAGAAACAAAATCAGGAAAAAATATACAATCTAAATAGGACATAATGAATACATTTGACACTTGCGCACCCGACCAGGTAGCCCGGGTAAGGAACAGGTCAACTTAATGTCCATGATCATGATGAGCACTATAACGAGTGGTTTCTCGCGGGCGTTTATGTGTCGTATACTTTTTAGTAAATGATATTTTCATCAAGTATTCTCTAGTTTGTTAACCTACACAGGCGCATTTGAGCTACTGGTAGTAACTATTAAAATATAGTGAAATCAACGAAAATCAAGATCAGTTTTAATTTTTCCACTTACCACCAATCTTATCCTGTCTCCTGATCTTTCTGTAGTCATTGTACAGAGGTTCTAGGTACTTATAAACATCAAGACCTTCTCCCACCAGTCTGATATACAGTGCCCCAAGGCAACGCACATACCTAGGTAGGATACATATACAAAATAATAGAGAGATATTCAGGGGGTGAAATGTAACAACCCAGTGTACTAGTGTATGAGAATTGCATGGGTAGGCAAACTTGTATAAATTGTATTGTGTCTATTATTTAGATAGAAAAGGGATGTTCTACTTCATCTCAGCAGCAGCTTAAGCCTTGGTCACAAATGCCATTACGAACTGCTACGAACGCCGTACGAACGATTTTTAGACGATGGAAAATTCGGGAAGACAATGGAAAAACAGGGATATTTGTACGAAATTATCGTTCGTACGAACCTTTGTGACCGTAACATTACTAATTTGATTGGCCCATTTGGTACTCTTTTTCAGGACGCAATGGCACGATCAGATGTTCTAAATCATAATCTATTAAAGGGATAGTTGAGTTTTGTTGCAGAGAACGCTACACAGAATATATTTTTGGGTGAAATAATGAAAAAGTGAGTGTCAAATTTGAAAGGACATATAATTTAAATGACATAATTATTTGATCAAAATTGGTTCAGAGACGGCTGAAATATCCATAAATATAACAATTTCAAATATTTGAACCAGCCGTTGAAAAAAAAAAAAAAAGCACCTTATATGTTTTATTCCAGCCAAAGCCGATGTTTGCTGTTTGTTTGCTTTTTCAAGTTGATTATAATACGCACGACCGGTCGGCTCGTTTATTGTTATTATAAATTAATTAATTAAATGGTCACTATATTTTTTTAAAGTGAAGCTGAATTGGAATGGTCGTATAGGCAAAATTTCAAAAAAATGTTGGGGTCTAAATCATCAACGATCGTCCCCCAATTCGATGATCAGTTACAGGGTTTTATTGATGAACTATTTTTTCACTGTTATCTCCTTTATAATTTGCTGTAAACGTGGCACATGGGCACTGAACAGTAGGAATGCTTGAAAGCCCGAGACAATTATTCTCATTAGAAGTGGAATAGGTCTGCGACTCTTCCCTCTGTACTTACTTGAAGTCCTCATTTTTGATGAACTCGATAACAATGTCCTTCTCTGGCTGAATCTGTAGCATTTTCAGAAGCAGACACAGGAATGGAGACGGCTTGATATTACCTCCATAGGTACCTCCTATAAAACGCAACTCCATTGCTTTGTCCACTAGTAGTTCAGCTGGAAATGAAAGAGAATATTGTTTGTCAGTTACCTCTGCAAAAATGTGTCGGGCGTGGGACCTACCTAGGCCTGTTTTGAGTAAACGTCCCAGAAGTTCATTAAACAGGTACGGTAATAAAATTTCTACTGTGTACACAAAAACACATTCTAAACTTATAAACAAACTCCCAAGGCAACCTATTATAAAGAAATGTATATCTATAACTTTCAAGGTAAGGAGATGTCATTTGTATCAATTAAATTCATACCAGAATATTTATTTTTGATAGCCAGGCTCCTGGGTTTCGGGCATTTAAAATAGGTCTTAATATGCATGCAACCGATACCTCAGAAGCTGCAATTCTTAACGAGTGTGTGATTGGATTGCATGCATCCCTATGCAGTCTACGTACATTACGCGATCATGCAAAATTGGTCAATTGAAATTCAAACCTTTATCGCTCGTGATCCTGAAGGTGAAACTCAATAAATGAGGTGTCATATGAAAGAGCAGGTTTTTTTTCCATATTACCCAAAGGGACTCACCCCCGGAATTCTAAAAATATCTTGATCAAAACAGCGATTTAAAATAGTTTCCATCGTAGCTCTGATCTTTGCCACTTTCCTGAAGTGAGCCCCAGGCTTATGTAGGGCTAGACGTAAGGAAAATATCTATGCACTTATTTTTTTGCTAGCCCCAAGGGATCACAAGCAATAACAGTTTGAAAATACCCTTCCCCCCATTTTTGGGATCAGCTAATTAGGAAGGCAGTCCAAACCATGGTGACAACGCGTAAAATCTGACATTTTTTCCTGACAAATCTGCCAACTTGCCAAGAGTCTGGGATATAAATAAATGACAGTAGATCTAATACAAATACGATTTTCTGAAAATTCATGTGTGATTTTTAATGTTTCTTTTAAGTATAATCCTGCGCATTTGCAACAAATTTGATACGACGTCCGCAAATGTTCCTCCGATCCTTGCGTGTTGAAAGTTAGGTAGAGTAAAGGAGCCCGTTTTCGGCCACTTAAGACAAAATCCTATTTTTAGGACTCTTTACTTCCTATTTATTATCATTTCTTGTTCAAATCATGAAGCAAATATTATTATTATTTAAACAAAAAAAGAATCCCAGAAAAAAATCACGAATTGCCATGACAATATTCATTTCAATTTTCACTGTTTTGGAGCCGGTTATCGGCCGAGCGTTTCAGTTTACGGCCGCATGTACAAAGTCAATAGGAAGCGCTCGCGCGCGCCGTGCGTTTCCGCGCTGATGTACAGCACAAGCGGGCGGAGCAGGTATCCCACGCCTGAGCTCCCTGGTGCTCGCCTGGCCGAAGACAGGCACAGCGGTGATCGGAAGTTGGAATCTGAATTAGACAGAGATATCATGTGTGCGTCGCGGTGTGCGGCTGCATTGATTTAATACATGCGATGAGATACTTTTGAGCTTGCGACTAACACAAAATCGGGCTCTAAATCTGAAAAATACTTGAAATAAAGCTCATTTTATGGTACCCATATTTCTTACAGACATGCGTAAGATACTTGATTTTTCAGATTCGGGTAGCAGGACCGGCGATTACTTCGCTAAAATGTGATATTTTAGGATATATTTTTCATTGCAAATGTGGTTCTTCAGTGACACTGGCATGGTATGTTATGTGTGGGATATGTGTTACGCTATTATGCGATGTATTTTAGAGTGATTTTACCTTGTATCCAACCAATCGGCCGAAAACGGGAGCTGGCCGATTACGGGCTCCTTTACTCTAATGTCTCGCGCATGAACAAATGGCTCGAAGGATCGAGAAAACAAAATGTCAAATGGAGAAATAAACAAGCTTTTGTATAGTTATTAGGGTCTAGAGTAGAGATCTACCGAGGATTGTTTGTCGGTTTAATTATCAAGCATCAAGAAAATCATCCCGGATCCGGAATCCGTTTTTTGCATCGCCAATGTGCCAATCAAAAATATTGAACATCTGGTTTTTTGCAGACGATACTTGTTTTTGAGGACGCATTGATCCGCGTTTACAAAGACGATCTTCGTTTATAAAGACGATCCTTATTCTCGGACCAGCGCCCCTACTGTACATGTAGCGTACAGTCAGGCTCTGGAGGGTAGCCTCTAATCGGGCACATCTACAAGGAGGTCAATGAATATGCATATCAGTGACGTCGTGTCAATTCATGAATATTGATGTTCTTGACTGCGCGCGTACGATCGTACGTACTACGTGCAGAATTGGGGTCATGACTGTACAATGAAGGTAATACGTGCAACACAGTGGTTCAGCCAAATCAGGGCAAAATCTTACCATTATACAGTTGTATTGTCCGTGATTATGAGGTAGAAGTGTTTGAGTGTTAAGTAAATTTATTTAGTGTGGATTTTGATACATTTTTGATACAGTTTATACAAAATTGGCGATTCTTTTGGTCGTTTTTTAACTCCAAAAAACAAGTGACCAACTCGGTCGTCGGCTAAACCACCTCCCTGTAGATGTGCCCGCCTACCTCTACATGTGCCCGATCAAGATAGGGATCGAGTTAGTTTAATAAAATAGTATTCTATATTCAATATCCGAGAGTTCACGGATGTAACATTAAAGCTCCCTTATATATGAGTTTCACAAATATCAATTTATCTTCTTTTCATGGATTTTCTTTGGATTCTACGTGTTTTACGTTGTCTAACAATCACCTCCCTGTAGATGTGCCCGCCTCCCGCTACATGTGCCCGAGATAATGGTGTAGCCAGACATTATATTATATTATATATATTATATCTATGCGTATCTTTCTTGCTCCCTCGACGTGGCGACTCCACCAAACATACCCCCTCTTTCTTACTCACCCCCCCCTCTCTCTCTCTCTCTCTCTTTCATCCCCTGTTTCTTTTGTTTTCTTTTTCTCTTTTTTCTTCTTCTTTTGCTCCTTTTCTTCCTTTTCTTTCTTTTCCTTTCTTTCCTATCCTTCCTCGCTTAACCCCGCAACTGGTAGGACGTCCCTCAGCCTCGCTCCTTCTCCCAACAACCAGTCCCTTCAGTTTTTAGTCAAAAGTTTTGAAGTTTACCTGATAATTTTAATATTCTTCACTAGTTTGTCTAAATCTGCTATCATCATGCTTTTCTTCCTTTTCTTTCTTTTCCTTTCTTTCTATCCTTCCTCTTTTTCTCTTCTTCTTTTTCTTTCTTTTCCTTTCTTTCCTATCCTTCCTCTTTTTCTCTTTCTTCCTCCTTTTCCGGACAATATCCTGACAGGCGGGGGTGTCGCACCCCCACACCCCATTTGGGGACGCCCCTGGTTGTACGGAGTTAGATGATATTCAAACTTTTCGTAAATATACAATATTGCACGATTTTTTTTCCTCCTCATAATAATGTAAGGCCTTTCAAGATTTTAAGTCAAATAAGATATGATTTTGCGATCGTAAGGCATTAAGCAAACGGTAGTGTCCCCTATTTTATGTCTTTTTAAAAGTAGGCCTTTATTTTCTTTAAGCTTTGATAATTATATAAAAACATCACCATAATCTAGCTAATATATTTCCCCCGCTCCAGTGGTGACAAAAAAGGGAAACATAACACACACGTAATCCTATCGTAATTTGTCCCCCTTGTGTGAAATATCCCCCCCCCCCCTCAACTGATTGGCTAATCTTTGGTGACAAGACGATATATTTTACAAGGAAACCACCTCGACCGAAAAAAAAGACAGATTTAGAACGTGACAGTAAGACAATATGCTTTATGATTACCAACCTCTCCTACGAGATGACCCCGACAATAAGACACTATTTCAAACTCGTGGGAGACAGTGAGCATAGGATGACAATATATAATGCTTTTTCACAAAAACAAAACAAAAAACACAACAATATATTCCTGTTCTCAATGTGTATGATGAATTGACAGGTGATATGTATATTATGATGTGTTTGTTCTATAATATTATCTATCTTGTTTCATGACAACTTACATCAGCCTTAATTTTCGTTCTATGTGTTCCCTTTGTTGTATTTTCTTTCTTTTAATTATGGTTTGGTTATTGAAATTAATTGATTATCTATATTTCGTGTGTGAACCTTTAAGCATGTATATATCGACTCGAATAACTATTACATTTATTTTCTGTGTTTGCTTTGAATTTACCATGTCTCGAATGAATTAATCAATGATTATTTTTTATTGAACCTGCATTCAAATTTATGTTTACATTCCGTATTTTTCATGTGTTTGTTCTGTGTTTATCATTATATCAGGCCCCCTTGTTGCTACGAGGGCTAGATATCCCACCCCAAAATAAAAACGAAGACAAATTTCTCACGGCATTTTTTACTTTAATTGTGTTGCACTAAAAAGACCTTATCAGACCTCCTTACCCATCACCATCACCCTCACCCCAACAAAAAAGACAATAAATGTTTGATTCATATTTGGATTGCATTATCTCTTTGTACGATACATGACGCGAAAACCGTCAAGGTCCGAAAGTGTTCAAGCCCCCTATCCCCCAAAGTCTCAAACAAATCACAATTCCGAAGTGCCCCCCCCCTACCTCTCACCCCTCTCCGGACAGTAAGTAGGCTCGTGTTCCGGCCCAACCCCGCGTGTCTTTCTTGCTCCCTCGACGAGACAACTCCACCCAACAACCCCTTCTCTCGTTTACTCCCACCCCTCCTTTATCAGGCTCTTACCTCCACTTGTTTCCTTTTTCTCTTTTTGTTTTCTTCTTCCTTTTTCCTTTTTTTCTTTTCTTTCTTTTCCTTTCTTTCCTCTCCTCCCTCTTTTTCTCTCTCCTTTCTTTTCCCTTTTTTTCCTTTCTTTTCCTTTCTTTCCTTTCTTTCCTTTCTTTTCCTTTTCCTATTTTCTTTTCTTTTCTTTCCCTCTCTTTCTTCCCCTCCCCCTTATCTCTTTTTTCCCGACGGCAGCGCAATTTTACCGACAATATCCTGACAGGTGGGGGGGGGGGGGGGGGGGGGTTGTCGCACCCCCACACTCCCCTCTTTGGAGACGCCCCTGCTCGTATGCACTGTTTCGTTCTTGAAACACTGTTATATTATATTTACACAAACAAATTACCTTACAGAAAACATTAACATACCCAAAGAAAGTAGTCCGTCAAATGAATCATTATCAAACAAATAAATTACTCAAAAGTATACTGAGTAATAATCAACAATCATATTAAAGGATACTGATTTTAAATACAGGCCTCTACACTGTTAATCAAAGTTAAAAGGTAGGTGTTACCAAGCGCGGATCAAGGGAGGGCCGAGCCCCCCAGCCAAAAAAAAAGAGAAAAAAGGAGAGAGCAAGAAGGAAAAGAAGGGAAAGGGAAAGAGAGAAAGGGAAAAAACAAGAGGAAGAAGAAAAGAAAAGAGGGAAGAAGGAGATCGGGGGGTGGGGACTTGCCTTCCAGGCTGTTCCCCCCCCCCAATCAAAAAATAAAAGAGAAGGAAGGAAAGGGAAAGAAAAAAGGAAAAGAGGAGATAAAGGGAAGGAAAAAAGAGGAAGAAGAAAAGAAAAGAAGGGGGATATCAGTTGCAATTTTCCCGCCAACAAGTTGTGGATAGGGGGGGGTCAGGCCCTTGCCCCCCACCCCCCCCCCCCCGTCCCTGCTAAAAAAAAGAGAAAAGGAATGAAAAGGAAAAGAGGAGAGCTAAAAGGGAACAAAAAAGAGGAAGAAGAAAAGAAAAGGGAGAAAAGAAGGGGAGATCAGTTGCGGTTAATCCCGCCAACAATGTGTGGAGCGGGTGGGGGTCAAAATGACCTTGCCCCCACCCCCAGCAAATCTAAAAGAGAGAGAGGGAAGGAAGGGAAGGGAAAGGGAAAGAGGAGAGAAAGAAAAAGAAGAAAAAAAGAGAATGAAGAAAGGTAACTGATATCAGTTGCAATTCCAACAAGGTGTAGATCGGGGGGGGGGGGGGGGGGGGGGGGGGGGCTTTGGGGAAATAAAATTCAAACGTGGTTTATTTCTAATTCAATAACGGTTGTTTACAGATAATGGTGAAATGACATCCTTTACATTCATGTCGGAAATTCAATTTACAACAGTAGTTGTATGCCTATTTTCTACACTCCCCCTATATCGGGCACATGTAGCGGGAGGCGGGCACATCTACAGGGAGGTGGTTATTTGACAACGTAAAAAAAGTAGAATCCAAAGAAAATCCATGAAAAGAAGATAAATTGATAATTTGTGAAACTCAATTGTATCTTAGGAAGCTTTATTATATCCATGACACGACGGAAATTCAATATACGTATGCCTTACTACATATACCCTATCTCGGGCACATGTAGCGGGAGGCGGGCACATGTAGCGGGAGGCGGGCACATCTACAGGGAGGTGGTTATTTGACAACGTAAAACACGTAGAATCCAAAGAAAATCCATGAAAAAAAGATAAATTTGATATTTATGAAACTCATTTGTATCTTAGGAAGCTTTATTATATTCATGACATGTCGGAAATTCAATATAGGCTACAACACTAAGTTGTATGCCTTACTACATATCCCCTATCTCGGGCACATGTAGCGGGAGGCGGGCACATCTACAGGGAGGTGATGTATTGACAACGTTAAACACGTATACCTCAAAGAAAATCAATGCAAAGATGTTGAATTGATAGTTGTAAACTCATATATAAGGCCATGTAAAATTGATTACATGTTGATCGTCCGGATTTTTTGAAAAAGAGGAGGAGGGTGTACCATGTTATTTGATATTTGATATTTCAAAATGGCCGCTCAAAATGGCCGCTCGGTACATTTTCCCCGACAGTCGAGGCTATTTTTTTTCAAGATGGCCGCCGACAATTTTTTTTTTTTTAAATCAGAAATAGAGCCATTTTAGCAGTGTTTTTCATGTTTTTTTTTCTTTCAAAAAAAAAAAAAAAAAAAAAAAAAATCAAAAAAAAAAAAAAAAAAAAAAATCAAAAAAAATAAAACAAATAACAAAAAATAGGAGGCGGCCCCCAAAAAGGAAGCGGGCGGGGACGATCAACATGAAATCAATTTTACATGGCCTAAGGGAGCTTTAATGTTACATCCGTTAACTCTCGGATATTGAATATAGAATACTATTTTATTACACAACTCGATCCCTATCTGGATCGGGCACATGTAGAGGTAGGCGGGCACATCTACAGGGAGGTGGTTAAGCCGCGACGACCGAGTTGGTCACGTGTTTTATGGAGTTAAAAAACGACCAAAAGAATCGCCATTTTTGTATAAACTGTATCAAAAATGTATCAAAATCCACACTAAATAAATTTACTTAACACTCAAACACTTCTACCTCATAATCACGGACAATACAACTGTATAATGGTAAGATTTTGCCCTGATTTGGCTGAACCACCGTGTTGCACGTTTTACCTTCATTGTACAGTCATGACCCCAATTCTGCACGCACGTACGTACGATCGTACCGTACGCGCGCAGTCAAGAACATCAATATTCATGAATTGACACGACGTCACTGATATGCATATTCATTGACCTCCTTGTAGCTGTGCCCGATTAGAGGCTACCGCTCTGGAGCCCCGACGCCTTCGGCGGCGGAGAACCCTGGCTATGGCCTGTATTGGCTGGGCCTGGCCTGGTGCCTGTACTGTGCAGTGTGTAGGAGGAGTGGACGAAAACAAGTGATCTGCTGCAGCATGCAGATCACCTAATTAAATAATCAGATATCACATATGCTTAAAATTCATACCACTTAGAGCGAAACATTCTTCCTTCCAGTATCTTGATTCATAAATTCTTGATCTTGTGATTTTTTCCACCAAATACTGCGGATTCTTCCCTTGATGCTGCGAGCGTCTCGGACCGTGCGATTCGCCATCTTGGAAAGGCATTTAATGAGTGTAGAGTGAAGAACAGTCGTTAAAGATTACTCAGTATGTAGTTCTCCAAAAATCTTTTGATTAATATCTTTTATTGATTTAAAGATATAAATTAATGAAATAAAGAAAATAGAATTGTACTAAAAGCGAATTGTTTGTAGCTTAAAATTAACAATATTACATTTTTTTAATAAGACCGTCTAATGAAAGACTACGCTTTATTATGTACACACGTGATACGTGTCGCGCGAAACGTAAACCCGACTTTGTTTATTATCAGCTCAGAGATCAGCTGAACTTTGTGTGTCACATTTCATGCCATTATTTCGAGGTTTCAAGATGTCTGCAGACAGAATACAAAGAATGAGAAGAGAGAAAGGATTTGCATGGATCGGATCAGCCAAAAGTAACGGGAAAGCAAAACGACGCTGTAATAAACATTATGAGTGAGTACTGAGTCAGTGTTTACAATATTAATTTGACTGAAAAAAAAGGAGTTTGAGAGAGAATGAGTGTGACGTGTGAGTGTGAGTCTTTTTCTTTTCCTTCCTCTTTGTTGACTTTGTGGCATTCATGCACTTTCATTATGGATAGGCTTAGTCTACATGTACATGTAGAGTCTACATCTATGCTGTAACTAAGTTGTAGACCTACATATAGACCATAATTAAGTTCCAAACTCTCAATAATCTTAGAGTCAGAGTCTCACTCTCGATCAGTCTCAATCTTCAGTTCATGTCTTTTTAATTTTTTTAGATGGCCGGATTACGACTGGGTGGGTTGGCGTTGGATTTTTACTTGACAGGTTCACTTTAGCTTTTTTTTATACTTGCGTAGCTTAGAACAGTGCATGGGAAGACTTCCATAATTTGCGACAGCCACTCAAAATGAATAAAAAAATTGTATCATAAATTGTACATGTAGACTATGTAAGTTAGACATTGAAGTCACTACCTACGCACCATTTTCTCTCATCTGAAAATATTTACCAAGTCCCTTTATCTTTGTTTTAAGTAATCCATTGAACAATGATGTCATCTCACAAAATTGTGGGAAGACGTACCATTCCAGACCAGACCATACTCGATTGATTATTCTCTTGCTGAATTAATTTTATTTTTACTGAGTGATTTTCTGCAGTTTTTGCTACATGTAGATCTAGATTCTAGGCCTAGAATACTTGTAGTACAACAAATGAATATCATGACTTGATTTTTCCTTCATTAAAACTTTGGATGATCTGTGTTTTTAACTTCACAGACTGTGTGTTTTATGTAACTGACTTATTATGATACTGATACTAGCTACAGTGACAAATGCACTTTCACTAAAGATCTCAATTAATTTCCTTTCACTATTTTGCAGAGGATTCCATCTTCCAGGAATTGGTGTAATCAAGGTGGGGGACCATGTCCTTATAGAAGGGGAGTCAGATGAGAGTTTTGTGGCTCTTATTGAAGACCTCTTTGATAATGGTAGGTATCAGCTCTTTCAACTCCTACTTCCTAGCAGGGAAAAAATTATTTAAACAATTTCGGGGCTATTTTTCAAGCTTGCTCGCATGAAAACAGCACTCTTTAATTTGTTTTGCATTGAACTCTATGCAAATTTGGGGGCTCTTTTATGACTTTCAGGGGCTCTTTTTGGCATTTTGGGGGCTAATTTTGCCTGAGCCCCTGTGTATTTTTTCTCCTGCTTCCTAGCTACATGTGCATGTAGAGCTAAATCTACCTTTATTATTTATTTTAATTTTATATAAGTTGCCAAATGTGAACATTAGCATCACCAATCATTTTCTGAAATGTGCTGAAACATCAGACTCTCACTGAGAGCTCTGGAAGGCCAATCAAGGGGTTCACTGCAAATTAAGATGCATTTTGGATAGAGTAGAATACATGTATGTGCAGCATTGAAGTTGAAAGTTTAGGATGAATTAAAAGTAAATCCAAGTCATGGTAATGGACTATAGGAAGTCATACAATTGATGACTGGTATGAGAACTCTGTTTAGAGTCTTGCCATCAAGCCCTATAAATATTCAAAAAAGATCTAAGGCTATCTGCCCTTGGTAAATTAAGGGTTATACAACTGATTTGATTTGATTTATTTATTTCTGTTTGATTTTCTTTTTCTTTTGCATTTTTACAAATATATAACAAACAAATATTGCAAATTTACACATGACAAAAGAATATATGTAGAATAAAGTAAGGCTGGCTGTAATTAATCGAAAACATCAAACAGGAGGGTTGACAAAGTAAGCAAGCTTGATAGTACGACTACTGTATGTATGAATCTTAATGGATTAGATGTTCAGATTAGAATAAAATCTTGTAACGATGGATAGACCACAGATTTTTGTAAACCAGCTCTTTGTTCTTACAAATTACCAAGTTATCAACATGGATTATATTATAGTTTGTTTTCATTTTATATGAGACTATTATTTTATCAAGGTAAACTTAATTCTATGATCATTGTCAAAGTCAATGACATCTGGGGAATGAGATAACAAGGTTTATTCAGTAATCCATTTCCCCCTCTCTCTCCCTTGCCATAGGACAAGAGGATACCGATGACCCTCGTAGGGCCAAGGTCCAGTGGTATATGCGCCCCTCAGAATTGCCCAAGACAATTGCCCGGAAGCTGCCCTCAGCGCCCCTCTCCAGGGAGATCTACAAATACAACCAGTCTAAAGGAGCGTCTACAGATGTGGAGATCGATGCAGAGACCATTATTGGAAAATGTGTGGTAGGTTGACATTGTCTTCTACCTCCTAGAGCTTGGTAGTCCTTAGCAAGGCTACTGGGGGGTGTTGCACAAAGAACCAGAGTCGAACTTATCTCTAAGTTGGACTTAAATATTATGGAGAGCCATTTGTAGCCTTAAAATAAAATACTTTCAAAGCAAAAATTCAAGTATTTTAGACTTTTCATAAATTCCACATCAAGAACATGAAATCTCCTTGACAATAGAAAATTTGAATGATTTGAATCAACATTTTATGCCTTTTAAAATAACTTTAACAAAATATTTTCAATGATGCTAATGGCTTTCCATAATTGTTAAGTCTAACTTAGAGATAAGTTCAACTAAGGATCTTTGTGAAACACCTCCCTGATCTTATACCAATAAGTCATAGTGAGAAATCATTGTTATAGGCAACCCTTATGAAAACTGTAACCAAAATAACAAAGACTGATGTGGAATAAGCAGTTGTGCTGGAGAAATCTGAGTCAATTACCCCCATCCTCTTTTCAAAGGTTCATCATCTTCCGTTCTCAACACATGACCCATCCATCTCAATCCACTTTTCTTTATTACTTCCATCACATGTTCTCCCAGACCTTCCAATGAGCTGATTTGTGTTCTCTTTTTTTAAAAACTTTCGAATAGATAGAACACAAGTGAGCTCATGGAAAGGGTTAAGTCTGAGGGGCGTTTCAAAAAACTTGTCATCAGTGACAAATGCCAATTTTTGTTATAAGCTACTGAAACCCTTGCTTCTGATTGGTTATCAGCAGATTTGTCCCTGATTTTTGTCATTTGTCGTTGAAAAAAGGCTTTGTGAAACGCCCCCCCTGGAAGAAACTTTGGTGGAAGTGGTAAAAGAGAAGTAAATTGAGGTGGATGGGTCATGTGTTGAGAAGGGAAGATGATGAACCTATGAAAAGAGCATGGGATCTGGATGTGGATGGTATAAGAGGGAATGGAAGACCTAAGATTACATAAAAAGATACGGTAAAGAAAGAAAGCAGTTAGGTTGGTCCAAGTGAGAGAATGCTTAAGACAAGAAAAAAATGGAGGGAGTTTCATCATGGCCCGAAGTCAGTAACCCCTCGTAAAAGGCAAAATGCTGACTTTAGTAAATGATAATGATGATGTAGAAATTGTATTAGTTTCTTATTGATATTAAACACCCCATTGCCACAGCATACATGTAGTAGAATTTATTTTTAAATAAATGTCAATCTTAAACGCTAAATCATCTCATTAGAAACTTTACTATTTTGAATAGTGCTTGGTCAACATGAATATTGTACTACACCACCCTAATATGAAAACAACTTGCAAGTACAAGGCAAGAATTAATTTGTGTAAATACTCTTTCTTGCATGTATCAGGCCTGATAAAAACCAAATTTAAATCGGTTTCCCAACTTTTTTATTTTCCCCCAATTTTGAGAAGAAAAAAAAAAAGTCCCAATTTTTTCCCCTATATTATTTTTTTCTTCCTGATTTTATCCTGATTTTTCTGATTTTTCCCTTATTTTCTCTATTCTTCCCTATTTTTCCCTATTATTTCCCAAATTGTCTCACTCAAAAGGGGAGAATGTTGTTAGATGCCATTTTCCTGAATCCTCTTCTTTTCTTTTTACTCAAGGGGGGGGGGGGGGGGGGGGGGGGGCGTGGTCTGGGGAAAAAAAACAAAACCTATTTTGTTTTAGTGCTCACAATCACCCCTGATGTACATGAATATAACAGTAAGTGAATTTATCGCATTGTTGGTATACTTACAGGTTGAAACAGTAGAAATTGACAGCGATCTACCAGATGAGAAGGAAAACCAAGGGATACCAGTCCTTTATGCTCGCTATGGCATCAATGTAACCACTGTGACACCTCTTATTGAACCTGAGAGTGAAGAAGAAGAAGAAGAGGAAGAGGAAGAAGAGGAGGACGAAGAAGAAGAAGAGGAGGACGAAGAAGAAGAGGAAGAGGACTCAGAAGAAGAAGAGGAGGAAGTGAAGAAAGTGGTCAAGAAGAGCTCTCAAAAAGTGAATTTGAAGCCAGTCAATAAAGGTAAGACTATTTGATTTGATTTGATTTGATTTGATTTTTATTTATTTTCCACTCAAATATTCAAAAGTTAAATGACATGTATAAACCGTACAGTATTACAATATATAATAGAAAAAATGAATTATAAAAGTAACAAAATACTGACAAGTATGTTCGTAATAAAAGAAGTTTACAGAGTACATTCTTCCAGTTGAAACATTTAATGGAATCTTAAAATTTTGATTCCAAAATGATTCTGTCGGTTAAGAATGTGAAGGTTTGATGAGCTTGAAGATAACTAAACACTTTCTTGATTTGTGTTTCTTCAAATACCTGTCTTTATAAGCTGTCATTTTTAAAGTGCCATACTCACTTCCAATGAAAATACCTCTTAATTTCTTTTTCTTTCCTTGAATCAGGTCTTACACCTAGGAGGAATCAAACCTTCACTGCGGACGAAGTATGGGATATGTTTTCATCTGATGACGACATGTCGCCATGGAAACAAACAAAGAAGAGCCATTCCAAGAAGCCTGCAGTATCAACAAAGAAGGAATCCTGGAAAGTTGGCAGTGTCAGTCGTTCGGGTGGTAGAATAAATCTCATTGGAATCAAACCTAAAGTTCTTGAGGGCTTGGAGATGGAAGAGAAGATGACTCGTGGAGGACGACTAATAAAACCAACTCCCAAGATGAGCGTTGCCAAGGAAACAAAAGCACAAAGCAAGTCAACATCAAAGAAGCAACTGCCTACCACTCCCATTCAGAAGTCCAAGGTGGTAAAGACACCAAAGACCGTTGGAGGTCGAGTTGGTCGACATCCAAGGTTGAATCATTGAGGAAGACCCAGAGCTGTATGAAGGAGAGCGTGAAGCAGAAAAATAACGCATCCACACTCAGGAGGAGGAAATTGACATATTATGAGGAGGAAGATGAGGAGGAAGATGAGGAGGAGGAGGAGGAGGAGAACTTCAAAATACTAAAGAAGAGGAAAATGTCAGCTTCATTAAAATCTACACCACAGGTGAGTAAATAATGGTTTTATTGCTTACCCGTTCCCTCTCCCCCTCCCCTCTCCTCCTCTCCTCTCCTCTCCCCCTCTCCACCTCTCCTCTCCCCTCCTCTTCTCCCCTCCTCTCCTCTCCCCTCCTCCTCTCCTCTCCCCCTTTCCTCTCCCCTCTCCTCTCCCCTCTCCACCTCTCCTCTCTCCTCTCCCCCTCTCCAATCCCCCTCTCCTCTCCCCCTCTCCTCTCCCCCTCTCCTCTCCCCCTCTCCTCTCCCCCTCTCCTCTCCCTCTCCTCTCCCCTCTCCTCTCCCCCTCTCCTCTCCCCCTCTCCTCTCCTCTCCCCCTCTCCCTCTCCCCCTCTCCTCTCCCCTCCCCTCTCTCCTCTCCTCTCCCCCTCTCCTCTCCCCCTCTCCTCTCCCCCTCTCCTCTCCCCCTCTCCTCTCCCCCTCTCCTCTCCCCCTCTCCTCTCCCTCTCTCCTCTCCTCTCCCCCTCTCCCTCTCCCCCCTCCTCTCCTCTCCCCTCCTCCTCTCCTCCCCTCCTCTCCTCCCCTCCTCTCCTCCCCTCCTCTCCTCTCCCCTCTCCACCTCTCCTCTCCCCCTCTCCTCTCCCCTCTCCTCTCCCCTCCCTCTCCCTCTCTCCTCCCCCTCTCCTCTCCCCTCTCCTCTCCACCTCTCCTCTCCACCTCTCCTCTCCCCCTCTCCTCTCCCCCTTTCCTCTCCCCCTCTCCTCCCCCCTCTCCCCTCTCCTCTCCCCCTTTCCTCTCCCCCTCTCCTCTCCCCTCTCCCCTCTCCACCTCTCCTCTCCCCTCTCCACCTCTCCTCTCCCCCTCTCCTCTCCCCCTCTCCTCTTCCCCTCTCCTCTCCCCTTATCCTCTCCCCCTCTCCTCTCCCCCTCTCCTCTCCCTCTCTCCCTCCACCTCCTCTCTCCTGGGCCCCCTTTGTGACGTATGAGAGATAATCTTAGTTTTGAAACAATAGAAGAAAAAAATCACAAACACTTTGCTTGGAGTACATGTTTATCAGCACCTGTTGTCAACCAAATCAGAGTTTTCCCTGTGAGAACATTTCCTTTCCAAATTTGCGCTGTGTGAATGGTGCCCTTGAAGTCAAATCTGCCAACTTTACTGAATATTCCTATCACTGTCGTATTAGACTTGTATCAAAATTCTTTTAATTTTTTTTACAGATTATCGGCAAGAAGAGAAACTTTTCAAAGAAAGATGCAACCCCTGGTATCCATAGCAGATCAACCCCCTGTAAGACCCCCTCACAGCCTCTGGAGCATGCACGAGTCAGGTAGGAGAAACTTTCATTTTCTTTTGGTTGCTAGAGTTATTTGTAATATGGATATTGAAGATGAATGCAATTTAAAAAACCTATTGGCATCCTTTTTATAGATGCACAAATAGAAATTCATAAGAGCATTAACAACTTTCCGTAGTTATTCTTGAAATGATTACTAATATCATCTTAAAAGGAACGGCTCACGTTTCATTTCATAGCAGCCCACTCTTTTCACTTTTATCTTCTTTTTCATGTTGATGTTTATAAAACCAAACTGGTTTAATTAATATGCAATACTATGAATAACGATGCACCAGAATCTCTGGTTATAACTATGCGGTAGATTAGCTCAACATGCTAGATACAGAATCTCTCAGGCATTATATGTGGAGGTGTCGTAGTCGAGTGGTTTGAGCACTTGACTGTAAATGCAAAGGTCATGGGTTTGATCCCCGACATGGCACTAATGTCTTTTGGCAAGGAATTAATCTACATTTGCCACTCCTTACCCTGGAGAGAAATAGGGAGCAGGTAGGATGACGAAAGTTTTTAGGCCTCTCCTCATCAGCTCGAGATTGCCAAATATCCCGCTATTTTCAGACTCTGGATATTATCCCGATGCTCGAAATTCAGAGACTGACTGTACGACCAGCGTGCGGATTTAAGACGTTACCTGCACTGTAAAAATGTAAACAAGTACCGGCTGTGCATGCATGCAGTGCAGTGCTACAAGCTACTGGTAGTTTATTTACAAACACGGAAAACCGAAAATCATTGTGTATGATGGGATCGGGTTATTTGACTCCGTACTTCGGTCTGATGAAGATGGCCGCAAACTATCCCGCTATTTGAGAAATAGCGGAATATTTTGCAAACTAGACCAAGATTTCTTGGGATATTATCCGGACCAAATATCCCGCTATCTTGCTACTTCGGGCTGATGAAGACGCAAAGTAGCTAGATGATTTGCGATCGGGATAGTTTAAATAGCGGGATATTTGGCAATCTCTAGCTGATGAGGACAGGCCTTTTGTGATAGAATGCCTTCATGGTGACCCTATGGTTGTTCAGAATTATCCCCAGGAAATGGGGATAGTGGACACTGTATGAATGAACACGATTAGAGGGGTGATAATGATATCTGTCAAGAGCTTTAATAGAGACAGTATTTTGTATCAAGCGCTATATAAATCCAGATTGATTTGATTTCTTGTTACTTCTGTTTGCTGTGAAGGTTGCATGTCTCAGCAGTACCAGACAGTCTCCCATGTAGAGATCAAGAGTTTGCTGACATCTTCTCCTTCGTCAAGTCAAAAACTATTAGATGGTACAGGAGGGTAAGTCCATTATAGTCTGGCCTGATAAAAACCCGATTTTAAATCGGTTTCCTAATTTTTTAAAAAAAATTCCTGATTTTTTCCCAATTTTTTTTTTTTTTTTACCAGATTTTTTTTTCTTCCCAATTTTATCCTCATTTCCTGATTTCCCCTTATTTTCTCTATTCTTCCCTATTCTTCCCTATTTTGCCATATTTTTTACACAATTTTCCCAATTTTTCCCCAATTTTCTTACTCGAAAGGGGGGAATGTCGTTAGATGCCCTTTTTTCCATGCGAATCCTCTCCTTTTTTTTTTTACTCAAGGGGGGCATGGTTGAGGGGAAAACGATTTTTTTTTAGTGCTCACTATCAGCCCTGAATAGTAAAGGCCTTCTCAGATATGATGTGGCAAACTGTAGTGTTTTTAAAATGATGATGTGAAGTGTAATACTCTTCACATTTCTGTACTGTAAATCTCTGTGTATAAGGCGCACCTGTGTATAAGGCGCACCTGTATATAAGGCGCACCTGTGTATAAGGCGCACCTGTGTATAAGGCGCACCTGTGTATAAGGCGCACCTGTGTATAAGGCGCACCTGTGTATAAGGCGCACCTGTGTATAAAGCGCACCCCTATTTTTGAGGTTTCAAAAAAAAAAAAAAAAAAAAAAAAACTTTTTTTTTTCCTTTTGGGTTTGCTTTTTTTGCCGACACCAACTAAATCGGCTCTTTTCAGCATGCGGTCCCGTTCGGAAACCAAAGCCATGATGCAGGGAATTGGGAAGGACTTTTTATTTATTACGACTTTACAGTCAAAAAGTCAAAGTAAAAAAGAATAGTAACAATGTTGTTTTTAAAACTGTATCTGTCTATTTATAGTAGCTGTTAAGATGATCATAATTTCCTGATTTATATTTAATTTTGCTGTTTTATAATTTTCTCAAATGTTTAGAAAATACAATGTGTCAATACTATGTTATATTTGTTCTTTTTTTAAAGATGGAAAATAAATTGAAATTGAAATTGAATTGAAAAAAAGAGACTGATCAGCAATCAAAATAGGTAGGAAAGCAGAGAAAACAGGAAATGATGAAAGAATCTTTGAGGGGTAAGAAACAAAGGTATAATAGAGGGACAAGTAAGAATATTAAGATTAAACTCAGATAATGAATCAAAGTTTGTTAACCAATCTTCATATTTGTTCTCCAGCTGCATGTATATCTCTGGCGTGCCGGGCACAGGCAAGACGGCTACAGTCATGGAGGTGCTTCATTGGCTGAAGCAAGATGCCGAATCTAAAGATATACCCAAGTTCAAATGTGTGGAGGTCAATGGAATGAGACTAACAAATCCTCATCAGGCATATGTTCACATTATTAAGGTATCTTGGAATATGAATATATATATATATATATATATTTTTTTTTTTTTACTATTGAACTTGCAACATTATTGTAATTGTAATTGGTACATTTAATTACCTGGGAATGAAAAAAAAAAAAAAAAAAAGCACCATAAATTTATGAGTTAGTTGTCGTAGTAAGACCTCAAAAATGTTGTTTTGCAATATATAAATCATTATCATTAGATCACATATATATTGTTAAATCAAAGAAATATAATTTAGAAATTTTATTTGAAACTGTTTTGGAAAAATATGTTTCCTTTTCACATATAAATCAGTGTTTTGTCATTATTTGTTAATACTACATGAAGAAGTTGTACTTATATGCGTTTGTCTCATATCCTTATTTCATGTTATATAGTACTTGGAGTAAATCTGATTTCTTCAATATAAATGCAGTTAAACATTCATTATTACTGTTTATTCACCTTCCTAGAGTCTAACTGGGAAGAAAGCAACCCCAGAGCATGCAGCTACTCTACTAGATAAACTTTTCAGTGCAAATAAAGCTACCAAGATGCCAACAGTACTCATTGTAGATGAGGTAAACAACACATGATTCTTCATTTCTTTTTCTTTGAGATCAATATTGTTCTCAAATGTATTTTTCAATGAAATTGTGTACATTTAATATGAGAGAAGGAATCCTGTGGCAAAAGTCAAGAGAAACTTTATTCAAAGAGTATGCATGAAATTAGTAAACAGGTCTATATGGGCACAATTGAAAATACCTTTCAAAGTCAGTGAAGTTTTGGGTAGGAATCATGGGCATACTTGGCCTCTTTCTCTTTTGTTTTCTTTATCCTGATATAACAAGGTAATTTCCATTCTCCCAAGGACCTCATTATAACCAGGTTCCACTGTATTAAAGGGATCCGGTAACTTTGTCTTAGATCCTTTGAAAAATCCTTGATTTAGCTCATGCTGCAATGATGATTATAAACCTTAAGGTCAGTCAGGAAGCCCATGAATTTTATAAGCAGTTCCCCTGTCTGATTATCAAGATATTTATGATTGAAATTCGAAATCAAATTTTGCGTTTGCCAAACGGGTTTCATAACACTACAGTCTATTGGGGAAAACGAGTATGGGAAAACGAGTATGGTAAAACCGGTCACTCAAAGGTTTTTACTTTTTTGAGGCACTTCTTGATCATTTTGAAGCGCAATTTTTAGGGCTTTAATACAACACCATATCACAGACACTGATAACACATAGGGCCATGCATCTAAGATTTAACATTGTTAAACGATCCCTTTAAGAACTATGCTAACAACTGTACCTTTCTTCCATCTCGTTGCAGCTTGATCTGCTATGGACTCGCAAGCAGGGTGTTTTGTACAGTATCTTTGATTGGCCAACCAGACCTAATGCTCAGCTGATTGTTGTTGCCATAGCAAACACCATGGATCTCCCAGAGCGCATCATGATGAACAGGGTGGTCAGCAGAATGGTATTAAAGCCCCACTGTCCTACTTGTAGCTACTTGCTCCCTCTATATAGAAAACTTCCTCAATTGGTGCCTCTTGGTCTCCCATGACCCTCTTTTTCTTATGTTAGTTGAGAGCTGAGTTGATGAGATAGCCACCTGTCAGTGACCTGGCTGGGTGGTCTAATCCCTTCTGGCCCAGTAGTATTGACGGTCTTTAAGATTTGAATTTTATTCTCTTTTATCCTCTTTTGAAATGTGCAAAATACACTTCATACTGCTTTCAATTTTGTATCCCGTAAAAGTATGTGAAGTTTGATTTTTTCAGTTTTCTTTAAACCTTATCGTTTTGTATAAAAATCTATTGACCAGAAGGTCACTGCACCATTTTACCATATTAGTTTTAATGGACTGTTATTTTCACATATGCACAAAATGATGCTTTATCTTGTAACTGCCCATTTCATTTTATAATATTAAGAGATGTACTTATAATCTATCAGAATTCTGTCGACGTATTCAAGATTATGGTGAAATCAAAGATTTTTGCTGTGTTTCTGGCAATAGAAACAGATGACTTAAACTCTGATTATCAGTGCAACATTTGTGAATTTACAAATCGATTTTCTATTTTTTGTAGGGACTGACTCGAATGACCTTCCAGCCTTACACTTACAAACAACTTCAAGAGATAGTTGAAAGTCGTCTCAAGGGCATTGATGCATTCAATTCAGATGCTGTTCAGCTTGCAGCGAGGAAGGTAAGAGAGTCTAGAAAAGATGAAGTTTCAACAAATCTATTTTTGTAATGAAGGATGCAACAGGGACTGACGTTGTCTAGGATTAAATAGTCGGTAATGTCCCAAAATTTGTTCTTTTGAGGTAAAGTTATAAAGTTTATACAACATTGATGTCTGATCCATTCCACACCTTTTCTTTCACAATGCAATCAGATAACCAGAACTCAACTTTATCTTTAATACAAAATATATCAGGTATCTAATAATATTTCTGAAATCTGATCGTCCCTTAGGTGGCTGCTATCTCAGGAGACGCAAGACGGGCCCTGGACATCTGTCGTCGTGCTACCGAGATCGCCGAGGTTCATGCCCGTAAGAGCAAGAAGAAGGCAGTAGTCGGCATGGCTCAGGTTGATGCAGCCGTCACCGAGATGTTCTGTTCACCCAAGATTGTGGCTATGAGGTAGGTTGACCGTGGGTGTTAGAGGTGTCGTGGTCGAGTGGATATGTCACTGGACTGTGGATTAAAAGGTCCGCGGTTCAAGTCCCACCGCGGCACTAATGTCCTTTGGCAAGACATTGATCTACATTTGCCACTCTCCACCAGGTGTTAAATGGGTACCCGGTAGGATGCGAAAGCTAATGTGCTTAGATTAGCAAGTGTGCGCATGTAAAAATGACGCCTGGCTGGAATGCTCCCCAGGGAGTGGAGAATGTGAGCCTGAATCTGATGACCGGGGTAATAATATGATTGCAGGGCCCTCAGGGAGAACAGTATGAATACTGATTAGGCCACCCTGGGTAAACAAGACATATTATTATTATTATGTACATCTTCTCTTCCTATGATTTTGCTAGTCATTGTTGTGAAACATGTGTGTCTATTTTATGTTTCTGATATAAATCTGTTATTACTCGTTGTTGTAGCTCTCATAGTACAATTAACGCCTCCTATACAGATCTTATGTGCAATGTTTATTACATAACGAATGTCCATAGCATTATTGTTATGAAAGCAAATGAAAGCCATCTTTAAGAGCTTAGAGCCTGCATATTGTGCTTAAGCAGATTAAATGCAAAATAAAATTGATATAACAGGGTCAAATATTTGATTATATAAATATTCAATGTATAAAACTCATAAACAAAGTTCAATCAGCCATGTTATTTTGATTACATTGACCTTGACCGAAGTCTTCCACACCATCCGGGAGATGTGTGATGGCTTCTGCTTCATGACCTCAAGCCAGATCTTCCTATCTTGTGACATTCTGGTCGCTTCTGTGAGGGATCCCAGACATCTAGTAGCACAATCGGCCTTTACACAATCTAACCATTTCTTGGCTGGTCTGCCCTGGGGTCTATCACCATGAATTGAGCTTTCATTGTATTTTCTTTTTATTTCTAGGCAAGCTTCAGAGCAGGAGCAAATCTTTTTGAGAGCTGTCATCTCAGAGTTCAGACAGTCTGGTTTAGAGGAAGCTACATTCGCTGAGGTAAGAGCATCCAATATCTCTCTTTCTCCCTTCTCTTCTCCCTTTCTCTTTCTCCACTCCCTCTCCCTTCCTTCCCTATTTTCTTGCTCCATATTTTTTCCTTTATTTCTTTTTTCCCTTTCTGATTTTTTCTGAGTTTTTTCGTTGAATTATTGTTAATTAATGAATTGTAAATATGATGTTTTTTTTAATATTTTGAAACCAAATATCTGTAAATCATGCATGTTGACTCATATCTCATTGTGTGCTTTATCAGGGTCGTTCATGGTGAATAATAATGACTTGAATACACAAGGCCTGATAATTACCCAATTTAAATCGGTTTCCAGATTTTTGTTTTCCCCTATTTTTTTTCTTCCCGATTCTACCCCTATTTTCCCCTTAAATTTCTCCCAGGAAGCATTACATTTATAAAAAATTTATTTTCTTTATCTTTCATTTTTAGGTTCTACAACAACACATATCACTGTGCAGGATAGAAGGTGAGTGAATATAATTATTTGAGAATTAATCAAAATTAATCTTGAGCTCTGGTATGGGAATCGTCTGTCGAGAGAACATGGCTTATAATTCTTTCTGGATTGCTTTTCCTGCAGTAGATTGGCTCAGTCGGTAAAGCGTCTGCCTGTCGAACCAAAGATCCCGGGTTCGACTCCCACCCAGGCGGATGACTGAAGCCTGCGTTGTGTGTTAACGTGCCCCTTCTCTTGTTCATAGACGCAGGTTATGTCAGGTGGAAAAGACTCCGTCCCTCAGATAGGACGTTAAATGGAGGCCCCTTGTACAGGAGAGTCACCACCCTTGGCTTGCACGTTAAGAACCTATTGCACTATTTGTATAAGAGTAGGGGAAACCCCGGTGTAATGGTCCACCTGCACACCCCAATCTCAGACATATATCATAGAAGATTATATCTCCAAGTCTTTACAGAGCTCTGTACAAGATACAGAGAATTGTATGTTTTTTTAAGAAAAATGATCATATGATACTTCCTTCATTCTGTTTTCCTTGTATTTGTATTCTTTACTTCAGGTCAGTTGCCCCCTACGGTATCAGATGTCTGGGGGGTGTGCAAGAGACTGGCATCAACCCGACTGCTGCTCCTAGAGGCAAGCACCAATGAACTAGGACAGAGAGTGCGTCTCAACGTCAGTCAGGACGACGTACGCTATGCCTTGGACTCCCGTACCAAGTGAGGATTCAGGATCAGGACCCCGTTTCACAAAGCCTTCTCACAATGACAAATGGCAAAAATCAGTGACAAATCTGCTGATAACCAATCAGAAGCAAGGATTTCAGTAGCTTATAACACAAACTGTCATTTGTCACTGATGTCAAGTTTTGTGAAATGCCCCCCTGTGTTAATGTGAGGTTAAGATTCTGTACTTTCAAAGCCGTTGTGGGACTTGAAACAAAACTGTCCAGATTTGAAGCTCTTGTCGAGAAATGTGACACTTTCAAGATATTTGAATTAGACCAAATGATGATTCAGGATCTGTGCTAATGCGACGTTAAGAATCCGTACTTTCAAAGCTGGCCGTTGTGGGACGTGAAACAAAACTGTCCAGATTTGAAGCTCTTGTCGAGAAATGTGACATTTTCAAGATATTTGAATTAGAAGCGAGACGATGTACAATATGCCATTGACCTCGGTTATCAGTAATGACGCTCCATTATGTGTAAACGCATTGTTGGACATGGAATTAGACTGTCTGGATATTGAGTCCCTTGTGGATAATGGTCATCAACATCTGGTGGGTGTTTTACAAAGATCCTAAGTTGAACTTATCTCTAAGTTGGACTTAAATATTATGGAAAGCTGTTAGCATCTATTAAAATATTTTGTAAAAGTTATTTAAAGAGGCATAAAATGTTGATTCAAATCATTCATAATTTTCTATTATCAAGGAGATTTCATGTTCTTGATGTGGAATTTATAAAAAGTCCAGAATACTTGAATTTTAGCTTTTGAACACATTTTTATTTAAGGCTCAGATGGCTCTCCATAATATTTAAGTCCAACTTAGAGTTAAGTTCGATTTAGGATCTTTGTAAAACACCCCCCAGCAATGATTAAAATCTGTGACTTGGTTTTTGTGTATTCTCTAGCTATTTATAAATCCAAGACTTTCCATACCACACCCAGTGATTACACTTCAGGAACGGTACAAACGTGTTGTGATTCTCCAGAACTTTCTCAGACAGTCATTGTTAGACATGAAATAATACTGTCTGGATCTGAAGTCCACTTGTACTAGTATTAAAGGGATAGTTGAGTTCTGTTGCAGAGGGCGCTACATAAAATAATTTTTTGTGAGATAATGAAAAACTGAGTGTCAAATTGAAAGAACATACAATTTTGATGACATGACAAAATCATCTTTGTTTGATCAAAATCGGTTCAGACAGCTGAAATATCCATAAATATAAGGATTTCTAATACTTGTGTACCACCACAAATATTAGATAATTTGAAAAAAAGAAAGTGCCTTTTACATCGTATTTCAGCCAATGCTGATGTTTGCATTTTTTTGTGTTGGTTATATTACGCACAACCATTAAATAATTAATTAACCGTCACCAATTTTTTAAAGTGGAGCTGAATTGGGATGATCGTATTGGCTAAATGTCACACTTTTTGGGGGTCTAAAATTACCTTCATAGCAAATTTGGTTCTAAAAGGGCACTAGAAATGTCAAAGATAAGAATAAGAGCAATAACCATTCACTTTGAAGGGATTTGTGGTCTGAAAACAGAACTCAACTATCCCTTTAACTATCATCAACATCAAAAATGATTCAGACCACGACTTGGTTTTCTTTGAATTCTTTGTATTCTCTAGCTATTCTTAAAACAAAACCTCTCTAATGTCAAGCCCATAGTGGCTTCAAATATTTTCAGCTGGGCTGAATTTTAGTGTGTTACATGTATTTCCAAAATATATTTGAATATCCTAAAATCAGTTTTGACTTAACTTTGTCCAGTTTTGATAATGCAAGTCAAAGGCACCTGTGGAAATAAATTAAATTGTTTGTAGACTGCAGATTTTATTTTCAACTAGAATGGTATGGATGTATTGTATAGAGTGGTGAAGTGTGACGTCATCAAAAATCTATTTTTATAATTTCTCAATTTTTTCTTCATATTCCGAAAAAACATCAAAAATAATGTCCAAATGTCGAAAACCAATTGAATATGTTAAGTATTGGCTGAGATATGACCATCTGAATGAATATATGTCCTATGGGAAGTCAGTGTTATATGCTCTGGCTCCTAACCATTAGGAGCCAGAGCATATAACACTGAGTTCCTATGGGGAGTATATTTATTCAGATTGTCATATCTCGGCCAATACTTAACATATTCAATTGCTTTTCGACATTTGGACATTAATTTTGATGCTCTTTCGGAAAATGAAGAAAAAATTGAGAAATTATAAAAATAGATTTTTATGACGTCACAGCTTTGGTACTCTATACTGGTACTAAATGACCATAATGTGTATACATGAAGCTTCACATGAAATAAAGTCATAGCGGTGCTTTGCATGCCTAATTGTTGCAACACTAAAGATGGGCTTTCATCACGATTGTTGGATTACTCTTTGTGTTCCATTACATTCAATTACATTACATTACATTAAAATCCCATCTACACATCAGCGCTATGTAGTAGTAAAAGTAAAGAGCCAGTATCTTTTGAGCAGTACATTCATTGGTTTCCTGGATTTTATTCTTTGATAGAAACAGGACCAGGGTCCAGTTTCATGAAACTTGTAATTAAGGAATACCAGACACAAATGCAAATAATTTCATTAGTTTTGAAAGGTGATGTAAACTGACAAATACAGGGGAACACCATCTTCATCTCCTTTTGGACAGCTGCACCTAAACAAATGGACTTGATTAACGGTAGTCAGCAACTTTTAATCTCTACATGGTCAGCATTCACGAAAACAGCTCGAAGTTCTCATCACGCTAAGTTTTCGCGGATGTTGCATGCACGTAATTGCAGCTGCGGTGCCGTCCGTAGTAGTATTATACCCGATTGGCCCCCGAGTCGGACCACGCCCCAGTCAGTTTACACCCCCTTTACTAGTTATTGTAACTTGTTATTGATAACAAGATTTATGAAACATGGCCCTATTATTGTGTTTCCAAAATGCCGCTGCAAAATAGTATTCAAATTACAATTTTTTGCAGGTAGTACATGGCTGCAGCATTTGAATCCGTATGTGAAAGTAAATATTTTTAAAGGTGCTATTAACTGGGTGTGTGTGTGTGGGGGGGGGGGGGGAGATAGGGAAAGCTATGAACTCTTATATATGTGCATTTTTACCCTGAAATATTATCTTCAATGAAGTTTTAAGTACTTTAAAAAATTAACAATTTGGTAAAAAATGAAAATTGAATATGATGTTGTTGATAATTTAGCTTACAAAAACAGCAGAAAAGCCATTATGTGTCATTTTTAATAATGAAAATATGATCGAAATGTCAATTAAATTTTAAAGGAAATTGTACTTTTTTAAATGATAAAATGCCATAGTTCAAGCAAAGTACAGGTAGATTCGCAAAAAAATCTCAGAATTTATCATTGCCAAAAACAGGTTGAGGAGATGAGGAGTTTTCAAATACACCTCCACACGTAGCCAATGCTGAATTTTAGTGATGATAATATGTGTGCAACTTTATATCACTCGTAGTAATTAAAGAAATAGAAAGTTATGTTCATAGATAACAATTGCACTTTTGAAAATCAATATTCCATTTTGAATTTTAAAAGTAAGAATATTTGCTTTGCTTGACACGAGGCAAGGCGAAGTGAAGTATTTGGAGTAAAAGCATTCTGGTATTACGATGTGTGTATTTACAGACGGTCCTCAAATTTCATGGCTATACTTTAATATTTTGAAACAATTTTTATAACTTCAGATATTTAAATGTTAGGAACAATGTGCCTTGAGAATTTGGTTGTAAATAAATTTTACCTCTTCTGAACGGAAGAAATACCAATGTTTTGAAAATGTTTTTGTTCAGTCGATTTCTATCTATCTCGTCCTATTCAACATTCTTCAGGAAAGAAACACGGGCATAAATAAGAAGGGGCACATACATGCCAGGTTAACCCTCAAGACCTTTGGGCCCTGTTTCATAGAACTTGATATCAATAACAAGTTACAAGCTACGGTTATAAGCTACTGAAGTCCTGGCATCTGATTGGCTGAGAAATTTGTCATAGAAATTTAGCAGTTGTTATAGATAAAAAGTTTTATAAAACGGGCCCCTTGACTGCTACATGGTCTGAATATCACAACCATAAAGTGTAATATATATAATTATATACAATATATAAAGATTCTAGGCCTCGATGCTCTTAGATGGTTAAGTTTCCTTCTGCGAATAAATACACCGGTAATACAAAGTTTGGGGAAATTTTGAAAATTGGCTGGGTAAAGATTCTTTACAAATCATTAGGCCCTAAAACATTTCTGCTTCTGAGAAAAATTGAATATTAAAATTTACCGGTGCTCCCGGTAAATTTCGATAATTTTCAAATAGCGCCTACAGCCATACAATGGTAGCTGCGACCATGAAAATGTCAGAATATGTGGTTGGGATGTATAATTTTCTAACGGGAATAGCCGATTGGTCAATTTTAGTCGAGAAACATTGTTTTTTAGCTTAATTAATATCTTGACCTTGAGAGGGAGCTATACAACATAAAGAGTTCATTATTTACAATTTCATAACTTTAGACTCGATTTCAACCGCGACAATGATCACTGAATATTTTAGGGTCTCATAATATGCTTCCAATATGTTCATTTGAACCAAATTCATGACCCCATACCAAAACTTTGTATTACCTTTAAAGGTCAGTTCCAAGACGTAAATAATCATATCTGATCGATACACATCTGTAAAAACCCAATACATACTTGTGTTTGATATGTTGATGTGCTGTGCAATGATAAGAAATGCAAAATTGTTATGCCATTTGCTTTATAGAGATGTGCGAAATTCACAAAATGGCGCCTAGATGACATCACATTATGCAAATGACCTTGAAAAGATTTCATATGGCCTATCCTCATTGGAAAATTCTGACGAATAAAAGAGATGATATGTACAATAGTGTACCACCTCATTATTAAATGTGATTTGATATTAAACTCTTAAAAAGTAATCAATTCTAATTTATGTACACAAAAAAAAGGATTCTTTGAGAGCAATGTTTTCAAATCATTATTTAATCATGGTGATATAGTCTCAGTCTTAAGAATTAGGCACTTTCTCCAAAAATTATACTCTGAATAAATCATTAAACTTTATATCCTACTAGTTCTAAGAAGAAAGAAAAACAAGATTGCTCTAACAAAATGGACTTTGATGTGTAAAGGATTGGTACAGTGGAACTGCCCAGTTTAGTAGCCATAATCATTCGAACAGTGAAAGTCAAACTTGAAACATGACTTGATTAATCAACATTTATAAACCTGATTTTAGTGTTTACATTATATATATTCCATAATCTATACATACACAAAATACCACATATTGATTGTATAATTTTCAAATCTATGGTTGTGATATTAATGAGGCTCATCAAAGAGATTAGAGATGAGTGGCATAGGCTACGAGCACATGCAATAATACAGATTATTACCCGTATCAGACAT